TTCATGATTCACTTACATTTTTATTAAGAATTTGTTTCAAAAACATTATCAATCATCTTAAAAACACTTACAAACGAGCTCTATATATTTTTTGTGTGTATATCTTTATTTGTATATAAGTTTTTCCAGCTTGTTACAAGAAAATATACTTCTCATCAAATCATCAATTAAGAAAGTATACACTCGTTTTACGTAAGTTTATCTCGAACCACAAGGCCTTTTGATGACCAATTACCAGTACTCAAATAATTGAGCACGAAATCCCGATTTGTAAATAAAATATGCTCAACAGTTGGATCGAGTGGTTCGTGAAACGGATGCATTGTCCTATGTCACCAGCTCAGTTGGGTCCTACTAGCCCTTCAGAAAAAGTTGGACATCCATCAAGAAACCCGACCCACAAAAATTAAAATGGTGGGGCCTCAAACTTCTGCTTCTTAACCCGCCTTTCCCATTTGGGCCAAGCAATCCACTGCTTCACGTGGACACATGGCTTACCAAAGCCATAATCCAGCCGAAAGACTTCGCTCTGGCATTTTATCAAACACCTCACACGCCACAGATTTTGAACTGGGCCTCCTCGAAAAGCCAGCTGGTGCTGTCAAATGGTTTTCTTTCAGGTGAAATCCAAATAAAAATATAATATAAAAACAAAATGTTCTACACAAAAGTGAGTGGAGATTCTCTCCGGATCCCTTCTATTTTGATTCTTTGAATCCTTAATTTCTCTACTTTCTCGGAGGGTGCTAGCTCTAATTGCCGGCTCACCACGGCCACACCGTTGTCTTCTAGCCTCCGGTTGCCCAAAATTAGAACCAAATCCTCCCATAAAGAGAGAAGAGAGTCGGGGGAGAGAGTGAGAAGGGGGAAGAACATGAACAAGAAAAAGTTTAAAAAAAAAAAAAAAAAAAAAAAAGGTTAATTAGTTCCTAGCCTTTCGATGTTCAATTGAAGGACAAGATTCCGAATGGAAGGGAACAACGAAGACCCCATTTCTTACGAAAGTGCTGTATATTCACAATAAAAGTGGAATCTATGTGGTAAGTCTGGGGAAAAACACAAGCACATAATATTGATGGTGGTGTATGTACAATTTTTTGAAAGAAAGAAGATATTGGCTTAATGCATAGCAATTTTTTTTTAATAATATGTAAAACTGACTAGTATGAAAAATGAATAGCTGAGATAGAAAATTAAAAATTTAATAGTTGTGACTTGTTAAGATCAAATCCACCTCATTGTGCAATTTATATGGTGGGGTAGGGATTTTCTTAAAGCGCATTCCAGAGTGCAATTCCACATGTTTTGTTTCAGAACTTTCACCACGGACATGTCGAATTCGTGACAAGGTTGCTCTGCTGGGCTCACAAGAGGTCGATTCTTACCGCTTTTCAGCAAATAATAATTCATTGATAAATTAAGGGTCCCATGTTTTCCAATCAAAATTCCCCATATATTCGAAATGAGATTCACTTTGGATTTCTGTGTTCAGATTTCGTGAATCGAAATATTCAAACTGTTTAAGAGAGAAAAAGATATTCAGACCATTCAAATTTTTTGAATTTTTATGAAGTGGACCAATGATATGAGTTAATGAATATCGTATGATTAAAAATAAGTAATCCAGATCTCCCGGCCCATTAACTCCTAATGTAGAAATCCATAATGAATTTCAATCCCACTCACTCCATCAAACGCTGTATGCAAATGCGATGCTTTCGAATACTGACCATTATAATTGCGTCTGTTTGGTGATGCTCATTAAATCATAGGCCCCTTTAGGGCCATAGCTTCTTGGCATGGTATATTCTTGCCATTACCATGTGTAAAATCTCATCTAATACATAAAGAGGTGGGATATTATATTCACATACCCTAAATTACTTCTCCCACATGTTTTTAATTTTTTAATATTTTTCTATCAAGTGTTCATGGTGTGTAAAAAATATTAAAAAATTAAAAGGATGTGCGAAAAGTAATTTGGGATGTATGAATATAATCTCTCTAAAGGGATATGTCACTCAGTATTACGCTCGGATGATATTCCTCTTCAATTGTAAGTGAGGGGCTTTAGTTTCGAATTTCGTGAATGAATAATTTGATACCAAACTAGATTGCTCATTATGTAATTTAGCTAAACTTCCCCTCCCCTTAGTGTAAAATATATCGTTGTACTAAATATATATATATATATATATACACACACACATATACATGCCCTTTAAGGGAAGAGATCCCAATTTTTTTTAAAAAAAATGGAGACACCTTATTGACCATTAAATTTGACCTTAATGAAAGTTTATGGCTGAGATTAAATCACAGGTCATAGAATCTCAATCATGAGATTTCATTAAAGCCAAATCTAACGATTAAGAGGATTTCCCTTTTTTTTTTTGAAAAATGAGGATCCCTTCCCTTAAAGGCTTTCTATATATATAAAGAGATTATATTCACGCATCTCAAATTACTTCCCCCACACCCTTTTAATTTTTTAAATATTTTCTATGAAGTGTTAGTGATGTGTTGAATATTGAATATTTAAAAAATAAAAAGGTGTGAGAGAAATAATTTGGAGTGTGTGAACATAATCTTTCTTATATACACTCCTACGATTTATAGCTAAGTTGTAATGTTTTCCCGTCAGATTTATCTTGTTAATAAAATACTTACTTTGTCGAATAAAAAAGTCCTACACCCAAGCATCGTTTCTCACGGATTAAATCGTGTCAATCCATCTCATTCGTTGGCTTTTTAAAGAATGATGTTTCTAGTGTACAAACAAGAGGATATGAAGTATGAACACGATTGTTTAATCAAAGTAATCAAGTGTGCTTTTGTGTTATTGTCTATGAGTACGTGAGTGGCTCTCAGATGTCTAAGGCGGGCTTGGAGTTGCCGACGAAATGTCCCTAAAAATTGGATATTTGTCACCGTTTGGTCTCCTCGTGTATTAGATACATAGAGCTTGGTTGAAACAGATTGGTCACTCAACGTCATTGGAGAGGAGAAAACAGGGTGGACATGCACTTTACGGTTCGAGGGAGTTTGGTTATTGGTTAATGAATACATGTTTGCATAGTTTGGTTGGTTAGGGATAGGATGAAAGGTGAGCAGCTATTCTACCAGGCGACCGGGGTGGTTGCATTTATTTGGATCTTGACCGGTCCCCAACGCTTGCCAAAACTAGCCACAAATGGGGGCTCTTAAATTGCCTGTTACATGTTTGAAAAAAGAGCGTATTTTTGCCTCACTATTATTTAGTATGATGTATGATCATCACATTATTTATCACGGTTAGATGAGTTTGAATTTTGAGATTTGTGCCTATCTACTACACGAATCTCGAAATTCAAACTCATTTAACAATGATAAATAGGGTAATAAGCATACACTACACTAAATGATGGTGAGCAAAAATGCTCCTTTTGAAAAAAAATGTCTATATGGTATTAGAAATTCTTAACTAAGGATTCGTTTCTTAATGTTTTAGAACAGTTAAAAACGTTTTTATAGAACGGTTAAAATGCTTTCAAAGTAACAACACTATTTACAGTAGCGTTTACGCTCCACATAAACATTTCTTATAGCTCTCGATATCGTTTTGTGTATTACCTTGGTTTTCATTGGTGCTATGGACTAACCCATAATCAATAAAATACTCTTGAGCGTGTTCTAAATGTTTCTGTGTGCTAGGTGGTTGGTTATCTCTTAAATTACAGCCTAAGCATTTAAAAAAAAAAAAAGAAAAAAGAAAGGACGCCTAGATAAGTCTAGGAGGACTAGGAGTTCTATGACTTTTTTTGTTTATTTTATTTTATTTTATTTTATTTTATTTTTAAGAAAATGGTTTAGATAACTTTTATTTTTTTAATAGAAAATTGTAAAAGATTTGTTGGATACTTGAATGAACATATTATATGCATGTTCCAATGTTTCAATATGTTATGTTACTTTATAATTTATACATTATTCTATGTTGCAATTAATTATGCTTTCAAATACAATTATGTATTATAAGTAGACACTTATTTATATATCAAATAAATTTTTTTTAACAAATAATATTATTTACACTAAGGGAGGGGAGGTGGGTTTAGCTTTATAATGAGCTAACAATAATTTGGTTCAAATTCTTATTTTTTGAGAATTGAATCTAAGAACTTTCACTCAAGTAGAAAAGAATATCACTAGATCATAATACTAAGTAAGAATAATAAATTTAATTAAAATAAAAAAAATCGCTTAGACTCCCACTTAATTTCTTGAATGCTAGACACCTATCCGTCGCGGGCAGAGCCTAACACGTTTTAGAACAAAAAACACAATAATACTGCCATTTAATTTATCATTCCAAAAGAGTATACAGTTTGTTGATGAATATCTCTACGTTGACGAATAAAATAGCTTTTCAACGGCACATAAACCAAATAAAGTGATGATTAAGATGTGATTGAGAATACAAATACTCATATGATGTGACAATTAAGATGTGATTCACAAGAATTTTAAGTATCATTTTTTATCTTTGATTCATTCTTATTAATTTTTATTAATTAATTTTTTTACAATTAAATTGATTTGAAAGTTGAAAATTGAAAGAAGTAAAAAAATGTATGGTGTTAACACCACCTAAAAATTTTACAGTTGATGCTGATGATGAAATCAATACAAAAAAAAAAAAAAAAAAAGGAAACGTTACGACAACAAAAAGAAGATTATGAAATTAAAAACTCGCTCTTAAACAGAAAATTATGAATCGAGAAAGATATATTTTCGAATGTTATTTCTAGATAAAGTTACAAAATGTAAACGTCACTATTCTTTGTTTCCTTCTTTTATTTTCTTTCCATTAAAAAGCAGTTTATCAGCATTAAGGAAAAAATCTTTTCCTAATCTAATCAGGTTGATTAATTTAAATATTTAAATAAAACATTCTTAATCTAAAACAGAGGCTTGCCCGTTTACTTCCCCACAACCCCTATATATACCCAAACCCCCCATCCCCCAACGAACCACCACCAGTTATTTTCCACTCTTCACTCTACTCACCCCCACTCTTCGGCTCTTTATACCCATCGCCGGAAAACTCGTACCCCACCGAAATGATGCGTTTCCGGCTCTCTCTTCTCCCTCTCCTCGTCCTCCTCTGCTCACCTTACTCCGCCGCCGCCGCCGCCACCGCACGGAAACACACTTCACAGCACAACCCAGCATCAACTCTCGTCCGTTCATCATGTCGCCACGCCACCTACCCCAAAATCTGCCTCCGCACACTCTCCGACTACGCGGGCCCCGCCAAGACCCCCCGCGACCTCGCCCAGGCGTCCGTGAGTGTCAGCCTTGCCCGCGCCCGCCGCGTCTCCGGCTTCCTCGCCCAACTCTCCGCCAACTTCCTGGGGACGAAGAGGCAGCGCTCGGCGATAGGCGACTGCGTGGACCTGATGTCGTCGTCGGTGGACGAGCTGAGCGAGACGCTAGGCGAGCTGCAGCACCTCCGGGAGGAGACGTTTCGGTTCCAGATGAGCAACGCCCAGACGTGGCTCAGCGCCGCTCTCACGGACGACGACACGTGTCTCGACGGGATTCAGGAGGCGGATGTGAAGGCCAAGGCCGCGGATGTGAAGCGGAAGATTAAGAATGCGGCTAGGGTTACGAGCAACGCGCTTTACCTGATCAATCGCCTTGACGAGATCCGCGGACGGCCCAGATCTAGACCTTGATGAAGATCGGGATGATGGACGGCTGTGATTCTGTCAGTATAGGTCTCAGTGTCAGTCCATGCCGGTGATGGCGTCGTACTTTCTTTTTAGTGTCTATCTTTTCGGGTTTTTTTTTTGTAAAATCTTTGTTCAAGTTGTTAACGAGTATAGTAATGATGCTTACATATGTAATATAAAATCTTTTATTAGTTTGGGATATTTTACTTATCAAGATCTTATTTATTTTAAAAATAATATTTGTAAGTGATAGATTGCTTTGATGCGTGAGTTTCTTGTGTATTTACTTACATTTAAAAATAATACTTGTAAGTGATAGATTGCTCTGATGCGTTGTTGTTTGATGTAGGGCTGGAAAAAAATCCCAAAAATCCCAAACCAAACCGAAAAAATCCCGATCCCAAACCAAAAAAATCCCAAACCAAAATTCCCGAAAATTTCGGTATGTAATCCCGAACCAAACCGAAATTTTCGGTATGGGATTCGGTATTCCATCTCCATTTTTTCGGTATTCCCATACCGAATTGAAATAAATATGATTAATCTTTTGTTTGTTTCTATATTCCAGTTGTCTCAACTAATGTGATTAATCTTTGGATATTAGTTTAAGTTCATCAGAAAAGTTTGATTATATATATCAGTATACATATATTATACTAGTACCTTAATATTGTGCATGCATATTGTTAATTGATAAACTAGTACATTAATAAAACTAATTAATATAACTGATGTGGTGTAATTCACTATAGGGAGGTTAATAAAGGGTATACTGATAGTTATAATTGATGCACCTTAATATTTGATGTAGTTTAAGTTCTAACTAGTACTAATAGTTAGTGATATGAAAAGTTTGTATTTGAATTATTCATTATTTATTAGTTGTAAACAATTTAATTTCCTCTTTTATTTTCTTAGTATTTATTATCTATTAGATTATAATTCAATGTAAATGATTTGTGGTTTATTGTTTTAGACACGGCTAATTTGGGAGGTGAGGAGAATACAACACAATTTTGGCTCATAACTAATTTTTTTGATTTTGGGTTTGTTACTTTATTTATAAACCTTGGCTTGTAACTACTATTTTTGCTTTTGAGTTTGTTACTTTATTTATTACTTTATAATATGTCAAATTTTAGCCCAAAAACATAATATGTCAAATTTTAGTCCAAAAGCCCAAAAGCATTTTGGGATTCCCGATTTGTCCCGAAATCCCGAAATTATTTCGGGATTCCCGAAAATTGGGATTCCCGAAAATTTGGTTTGGGATTGGGATTGAATTTGGGATTCCCAAAAATTTCGGTTTGGGAATCGGGACAATGGTTTCGGTATGGGATCCCATACCGAACCACCCCTAGTTTGATGGGTATTTTTCCGTTTGTTGGGTACGTCAAACAATCACGCTCTTGATGATCCTCACTAATGTGTGTTGAAAAATTGTGCTAGGAAGGACGTCATAACTCATAAATAATTACACCAACTACATTCAGAAACAATACCTTTATGTTTCCTTTTTTGCTCTTATATTTTATCTTTGTTCTCACAGTAAAATAATGGTATACCCTCTCACTTAAAAAATGGGAAAGAGATCCTTTTGGGATCTCTTTCATCAAGGTTATCAGATCAAGTAATTCGAGTCTTTAAAATTTTATGGGTCACCTATTTTGATTCCTTAAAAGGTGTAATAATTTTTTACCGTTGGATAAAATTTTAAAGGTTCGGATCACTTGATCCAGTAACGTTGGTGAAAGAGATTTGGAGAAGATATTTTTCCTAAAAAATGGGGAGAAAAGAGTTAAATTCGGGTCAGTACTTCCGACCCGCCCCAAAAGGAAATCCTCTTTTGTTGACAGGCTCGTTAAGCCCAAATTGACGTAAAGAGAGTCGGCGCGCGCTTACCAACCCAGAGACTCCTAACCCGCCACTTCTAACTGGGCCACCCAATTCCCAAAACGTAACTGTAAACTTGACCCGTAAATCGGAGACAGGTGTCGAAACGAGAATGCAGGCAGAGGGTGGGTAGAGGCTTAACGGGCACAGCAGATCCCAACTCTCTCTCTCCCCCCTAAAACCCTAGTCACCTCCTGAATCCATCTAAGCTTGGGTTTTTCTGCAACTCCCCAAAACTCCCGCCTAAACATGGAAGGCGTAGAAATGGACGATCCCCACGCCCTCCCTCTTAACGACGACGATGACGACATCTGCGCCTCAATCCTCACTCGCTTCAGCAGCTCCACGCGCGAGGACCACCACCACCTCTGCGCCGTTGTCGGCGCCATGGCCCAGGAGCTCAAAGACAAGAACCTCCCTTTGACTCCCGTCGCATACCTGGGAATCACTTGCTCCTCCCTCGACGGCCTCGCCTCCCAGCTTGACCCTCCCGGTCACGTGATAGCGCCCTCCTCACGATTCTTTCCGTTGTCTTTCAGAAAGTATCGGCGGCGATTATCGTGAAGAAAAACGAGTTCTTGTCGGAGCTCTTGGTCCGTGTTTTTCGGTCGCCGTCGTTGACCGTGGGTGCCGCCGTCTCGGGATTGAAATGTATATCGCATTTGCTCATTGTCAGAGGCCGTGTCAACTGGTCTGATGTGTCTCAATTGTATGGATTTCTATTGAGCTTCGAAACCGACTCCCGCCCTAAGGTGAATGTTCTCACATTTTATTTTGCCTTTTGGAGTTTTTATGGTTCATGTTGATTGTATATCGTAGAATTCAGATTATTCCGGTCATTTATTATATAAATTCGATGAATTTGAGGCTTCTCAAACGACTTCACGGCACAATTGTTGCATATTTTGGTAAATACCGATTGTTATGATTGAATTCAGATTTCGATTCTGTTACATGTGTGTGAATGTGTGCTGATTGGATTTGAAATCAGGTGAGAAGACAATCACATTTGTGTCTTCGTGATGTGTTGCAAAGTTTTCAAGGAACGTCGCTCCTTGCACCTGCAAGTGAAGGGATAACTAACTTATTTGAAAGGTTTCTTCTTCTTGCCGGTGGGTCAAAGGCAGATGCGAGTGAAGGACCCAAGGGAGCCCAGAAGGTCTTGTATGTTTTGGATGCTTTGAAAGAGTGTCTGTTTCTTATGTCAATCAAGTGCAAAACCAACGTCCTCAAGTACTACAAAACTCTTTTGGAACTGCGCCAACCACTTGTTACAAAGCGCATAACAGATAGTTTGAATATACTTTGTCTCAATCCATCGTTGGACGTTTCTCCTGAAGTGTTGCTCGATCTATTGTGCTCATTAGCTCTATCTGTCTCTACGAATGAGACGTCTGTGGATGGCATGACATTTACAGCTCGCTTGCTTGGTACTGGAATGGGGAAAGTTTATTCCCTTAATAGGCAATTATGTGTAGTTAAACTCCCTCTCGTATTCAATGCGCTCAAAGGTATGCAATGTTTTGTCCTCCATTGACTTTAGCTGTGTATGTTTTACCTTCTTATTCGTTAAAGAAATCTTCGTCTAAGTTCCTGTCTATATCTGTTCTATTGTAGAAAGCAAAACTCAAAAAGTTCTGTTGTGTTTTTTCTTTGATTTTGGCAGATGTGTTGGCATCTGAGCACGAAGAGGCTATACACGCAGCAGCAGACACATTTAAGAGTCTCATTCATGCTTGCATTGATGAAAGCTTGATCAAACAGGGAGTTGACCAGATTGTAATGAATGGTAAAAATGATGCAAGGAAGTCTGGGCCAACTGTCATTGAAAAAGTGTGTGCTGCTATTGAAAGCTTACTTGGTTATCACTACGCGGGTGTCTGGGACCTTGCATTTCAAGTTGTTTCAGCAATGTTTGATAAACTTGGTATTACGTTTGATGTATCTGACTTTTTTTCTCTCATTTTTAATTGATTTATTTTTCAGTTCTTATTATCTCCATGTGATAAAAGAGGTATGACAGCTGTTATCATGCAGGGGTATACTCTTCTTATTTCATGAGCGGTGCAATCAAGAGCATGGCAGAGACGGAGAAGTTACCTGATGAAGATTTCCCTTTCAGGAAACAGGTCTTTTCCATATTATTGAGTTTTAAATGATTACTTGTCATTATCGTATTGATCCCTATATTGCAAACTCGTCTATATATGAACCATAGCATTTACGATGTCCACTATTATCATTTACTGGTTTTGTGATTGCAAGTCAAACTAATTTCATTTTTTTTTAAGATTGTTTGGAAGCATCTTGTGTGGTTTTGTCTTTGTTTACACTCAATTAGTGCAACATTTACTAATCTAATGACTTTCTTAATATATAGTTGCATGAATGCTTTGGATCGGCTCTTGTTGCAATGGGACCTGAAACATTCTTAGGTCTTCTACCTCTTAATTTGGAGGCTGAAGACCTAAGTCAGGTGAATGTTTGGCTCTTTCCGATACTGAAACAGTATACTATTGGTGCACGTTTGAGCTTCTTTACAGAGTCAATTTTGGGTATGGTTGGAATCATAAAGGAGAAATCCAGAAAGGTATTGAACAGCTCATACTGATTGAATGCTAGTTGTTTAGTTCAGATGGAATTTTTTAGTTATGTGTTATATTTTGCAGCTGGAGTCACAAGGACGTATTGTTTCATCAAGGAGTTCAGATGCACTTGTACACGCTTTGTGGTCATTGTTACCTTCCTTTTGCAACTATGCTTCTGATACTGCTGAAAGTTTCCAGGATCTAGAGCAAGTCTTGTGCAGTGCTCTTCAAGATGAATCTGAGATTCGTGGAATAATATGCTTGAGCTTGCAGATTCTTGTTCAACAAAATAAGAAAATTGTGGAAGTGAATGATCTGTCTCACAGTGAAGTAGGTAGTGCCAGACATAGAGCTATGGCCAATTATACCCCTGAAGTTACAGAAGGTAACATGAGCGTGCTCAAGTCATCAGCACGCAAGTTGTTACCTGTTCTATCAGGTGTCTTCTTGAATACCACAAAAGATGATGCAGGCTGTTTGCAGGTACTTCAGCATACCGTGGTTATATGTAGACATGTGTGTTGTTTATTTGTCCTGCAAAATACTTGACAAGAATGCCAAATCCACATTCATTTTGTACAGTGTACATATCCTACTGGTGTAACAAATGCAGTTCCCCTACAACTCATGCCTATCTTTGTTAAAACCATGACACGTTCTTTTATAAGAGAAAGAGAGGCGGAGGGGAGTCATCTTTTTACTTAAATGTATAAGGTACCTCATAGTGAACATTGAGCAACAAAGACACGTGAATAAAATGGAGCTGGCTTACTGTATAAGCTCCATCCTTTTTTTTTACAATATCACGCTTTTCACCTCTCTTTTTTTCTTTCCTTTGACTTCCCTTTGTCCTTTGAATACATTTTCACCTCTTTGTCCTCTCTGCTTCCCCTTACATTCTTGTCTTTTTCCATATTGGGTCCAATTTGCTGTTTGAGAATACACTTTTTGCTAGATACTTGTTTGTACGTTCAATACGGGATTTGTTGATAAATTTTGCATCATTAGTATTTTGTGAAGTTGAGAATAATTATGTTTGCACCTTTTACAGTCGACAATTGGTGAGTTTGCTTCAATATCAGATAAAGAAGTTGTATCAAGGTACTTTAGAAGTACATTGGTGAAGCTCTTAAAGGTTACTGAAGAGGCTAGGAAAGCAGAAAGCTCTAGAGATTCTAATACCACAAGGTACATCATTTTTTTTATGTCTATGATGTTTAGTTCATTTTCACAATTGAGTTATTACTTCTCTATCTTAGCACGATATCTGACCTGACGTTAATTCTTCCATCTTAACTGCAGGGCACAACTATTTGACCTGGCAGTCTCACTTTTACCTGGTTTAGATGCTAAAGAGGTTGATGTTTTGTTTAGTGCAATAAAGACTGCATTGCAGGTTTGGAAATTTATTTCCTCCATCTGGTTATTTACTTTGTTTGTAGGGGATCTAGAAATGCTTGGTAAAAGGAAATGTTGCACTAAGTTACTAACTATGGGCTTCCTGGCTTCAGGATAATGAAGGTTTGATACAAAAGAAGGCATACAAAGTTCTTTCAATCGTTCTCAGGGTATGCAAAAGTTACTGATTTGTATGCTTTGAACGTTGGGGCTTATCTGTATTAAATTATTAATGCTTTTGCACTGTACTTGAATTATTATCACCGGTCTGTAGAATATTTGGAAACATGGTTTACCAGTTCAAAGTTGTTTGCGTCACTGCTAATGTCATGTCTTAGTTAAAGAAGACATGGTTACAAGGGCACTCATAATTTCTAGAATTATGTGCTGCCGAGCCATCTTTTATCCATGTCATGGTGATTTTTTTCTTTGCCCATCTCTTTTACTTATGGATCTTATTGCTGGATGTATGGTCAGGACTGTGATTGGTTTCTTTCATCAAAGCTCAAGGAATTGTTTGATATTATGATTGAAGTGCTTCCTTCATGCCATTTTTCAGCTAAACGGCACAGACTTGACTGCTTGTACCTCCTGGTAGTCCATGTTTCAAAGGTATACATAAACACATTGGTTTTCCAAATTGTATTTAGATGCTCTGTGTAGCATTCATTATTTGAGTATTAGAAATAAAGTTTGCTTTAGGTTAAAATTTTATATGTTCAATGCTTAAGAACTTAAATCTTTATGTAGAGGGACACAGAGGAGAGGCGTCAAGACATCATAAGTTCCTTCCTAACAGAAATAATTCTTGCACTTAAAGAGGTATGTGGTTAAGCTGCAGCGATATCAGGTTTATTATGACAAAAAATTCTTTTACTTGAAATGCTAGAAGATCTTCCATTGCTGCAGCTTCTTGCCCTTGAAAATGATATTAATAGTTTTCTTTTTCAATGCAGGCTAACAAGAAAACAAGAAATAGAGCTTATGATATCCTTGTCCAAATTGGCCATGCTTGTGGAGATGAGGAGACTGGCGGGAAGAGAGAAAACCTGCAGCAGTTTTTTAACATGGTACTGGATATTGTTTCAGACACTGCAGCAGTTTTTTACTGATATTCTTTTGGCTATAATTGGTCTTCTGTGGGAAAGCAGAAATTGATATAAATTTGCAGCATGTCTAAGCTTAATCTTATGGTCACAGGTAGCTGGGGGGCTAGCTGGTGAAACTCCTCATATGATCAGTGCTGCAATGAAGGGCTTAGCTCGGTTGGCTTATGAGTTTTCTGACCTTGTTTCAAGTGCCAGCAATTTACTCCCATCCACATTTCTCCTCCTTCAGAGAAAGAACAAAGAAATAATTAAAGTTTGTTCCCTTCTGTTTTGGATCAGCATTTCGGCGTTATCAGTTATTTTGAGTGCACTGCTTGATAAATCATTGACTTATTTGTTTTTTTTTTTTTGCAGGCTAATTTGGGCTTGTTGAAGGTATTAGTAGCCAAATCACAAGCCGAGGGGTTGCAGTTGCATTTGAAAAGTATGGTGGAAGGCTTGCTGAAGTGGCAAGATGCTACTAAAACCCATTTCAAAGCCAAGGTTGTTTCCTTATTAGTATGTTTGTGACACTATTCAGACACTGAGTTCAATTGGTTTAATGAACTTCCCCAATTTCTTATCACTTGCTGTTCAAAACCAAATATTTTTTCAGGTTAAGCTTCTTCTAGAAATGCTCGTCAAGAAATGTGGGCTTGATGCTGTTAAGGCTGTGATGCCTCAAGAGCATATGAAACTACTTACGAACATACGGAAGGTTTGTCGATAGGCATCTGCTAGAGTGAATTTTCAAGGGGTACTTACTACTAGTTTCTGATCTTCCCTTTTCTTGTTGAACACAGCTCAAGGAACGAAAAGAGAAGAAGACGGGTTCTAAATCTGAGGAAGCTAGATCTCAAGTGTCCAAAGCAACTACATCCAGGTCTCACTCTTTCATAATTTAAAAGTTAAATACATGTGTGAGCACAACTCGCATGTTTGGGTATTTATTCTTATTGTAAAGACATATCACACATGTATCATGTATGTATTTGCCAATGAAATTTTTACAGCTCATTTTTAGCTCTAATGTTTTGAGATTTATATATATTTTTTAATCTTCATGTTCTCTAACATATTGTTATTTTCTATCTTCTTTTTAGGCTAAGCAGGTGGAACCATACAAAAATCTTTTCTGATTTTGATGACGAAGAAACTGAGGATAGCAATGCAGATTATATGGATGCCAAAACAGTCTCGGGCAAGCGTGGCAAGGCGTCCACACAGTTCAAATCTAAAGCATCTTCATTACGGTAGGTTGTATTTGGTGTTCATATTGCAATGTTTAGATAACTACACTTTGCATCAATCATGATCTTGGTTGCTAGTAGTGTTCGTTGGATCATATCTGATGGTCTAGAAATGTTATGATAAATAACGCAATCCATTTTGATATCTACACAATCCAATTGCCCGAAATTAACTAACACAAATGTTTGAGTTACAGAAGAACAAATAATAAGAACTTGCTTGATCAGCTAGAAGATGAGCCACTTGATCTGCTTGATCGGCAAAGAACAAGATCCGCACTCAGATCATCTGATAATTTAAAGCGAAAGATGGATTCTGATGATGGGCCAGAGCTAGACCCTGATGGGCGCTTAATAATTCGCGACGAAGCAGAATCATACAAGGAGAAACCATTTGAACCTGATTACGAAGCAAGAAGTGAAGCGGATAGCCACTTGTCTGTGAACTCAAAGAAAACACAAAAGCGCAGGAAGATGTCAGAATCTGGATGGGCTGCCACCGGCAAAGAGTACGCCAGCAAGAAAGCTGGTGGGGATTTGAAGAGGAAGGACAAGCTTGAACCATATGCATATTGGCCACTCGATAGGAAGATGATGAGCCGTAGACCAGAGCACAGGGCGGCCGCAAGAAAAGGGATATCGAGTGTGGTGAAGATGACGAGGAAGCTGGAAGGGCAGAGTGCCTCGGCGATCCTCTCTGCTAAAGGCTTGAAGTTTAAAAAGCGGGTTCAGAAGAAAGGAGGCGGCAAGAAGAAAACTAGGTGGAGAGTCGACTGCTCTAGTTCATTCATGCTCCATGCAAAACCGCAGGTTCTTTCTTCTCTCTGCACCGGATAGTAATGAATTGTTGTTAGTTATATACAGTGGTTAATATATACATATTTCATTACAATGATCTGATCAGCCAATTAATTGTACAAGAAAACCAAAATCAAACAAGGCAACTATTGCCGTAGCAGTGATTCAATGACCGATGAGTAGGATTCCTTTTAAGTTCTAACAAAAAGGTGGCTGTACGCAAACATACCTTCAGTACGATTGCAGCAAAGGTTGGAGTAGCACAGTAGATCTGTGTTTCTACTTGTATGGGGCAAACAAGACCGATGAGTTGTGGCCACCGAACCCAAATGAGTTAGACAATGCCACTAGTAGTTTGTATCCTGCATTCATGTGCTGACAGAATGAGAGGATTCCAACTACACTTTCATTGGACATTATATACCAGAAAAGGGTGACAAGGGAACAGAAGGCAACATACCACGCCCTCGTCTGGATTTTCCAGATTGATATTTGGATGCATCCACCCAGTTAACATGTCAAGAACTACGCTTCAAGCAAACAAACAAGAATTGTATCTGGTCTTACAGGTAAGGTCTAAAAATAGTAGTGTTTTTCCAATTTGAAAACATCACGTAAGTTACCTGTACTGCTGCAACAGCTTCTACAGCACCAGATGCTCCCAGTAGCAGTAGGTGACCAATCATGGATTTTGTAGAGTTCACTCCCAACTGTAAAACGTAAAGATCTCATCGAACAATAACATGGAAATGAGGAATTAAGATCTCCAGTAGGTGACCAATCAGGTATTGTTGTTACATCAGGATTCTGACCAAAACAATGAATGAGAGCATTATACTCCTTGAGATCTCCAGACGGTGTGGATGTAGCATGTACATTAATGTAATTAACATCTTCCCTAGACACCCCAGACTGTTCTAAAGCCTTTTCAGTGCAGAGAATAACCCCAGCCCCTGTTTCCAAGGACATTAATGAAAAAACACCATATTGCATGGTAAGATAGAGATGAATGATTAGAAAACGTGTTTGTGAGACCATAGAGCTTGAGGGAACCAAAGGATACAGAACATCCCTACGGACATTGCACCTACAACCTTACAGAAAAAAAGGATATCCAGACAGACACCCAAGTGCCATTGCCAAGGGCATAGATTTAGAAAATACCTTAGCATGTTCTAACTCTTCTAGAGGCAAAACGCCAGCTCCTTCCCCCATAACAAAGCCATCACGGTTCTGTCCAATAACCAAAAACATGATTTCGTTAAAAACAGCACCTGTTAAACGTTTCAAACTTATTTGTTCGCAATGCAATAACTTTGCACTTGTTAAACGTTTCTAAAATTAAGAAACTCAACTCTCAAGCTCAGTAGACATGACTAGGTTTAGTTATAAATTATGACACATCATTTCAAAAAAGCTGACCAGATTCTAACACAAATTTACATGGAGACCACCAATATATGACATGCCTTTCGATGATTTTTACCATTCTTGTTCTTAACAATATTTACAAAAGTTATCATATAACCAATCCCAGTGGAAATTAAAGAATAAATGAATCTAGCATAGTTATTGGTCGCATGACACTATCCCAAGGGCGTGATGCTTTGGTCGGATCATTGTTTCTTTGTGACAGTGCTCTGCATGCCACAAAGCCTCCCATTCCTCCAGTAATTGCATAAGAACAAGATTATTGTACGTGCAACTCCAAGTAAAACTAAGAAATAACATTTGCAAAGAATGGGAGCAATACCAAGAGGTATCATCACTGAATCTGAACCACCACAGAGCATAAGGTCCTGCGTAAGATTTCAAAGAAAATTGTATATCAGTTATTATAATATACTTAAAGATCGTTCATCAGTACATCATTATTTTCAATTTTGCATCTAAACTACCACCAAATTACTTCACGTTGTAGGAATACTTACTGCATTGGCTTTAATGATATGATTTGCCGAATTCAAAGTACAGAAGCTGCTGGTAGCACAAGCAGTAGAGATTGAATAGTAAATATCAGTTAAAAGGACAAATACAAAATCAGCAGCCATCACCAATTGTAAGAGTATTGCATCGAATACATATATCTTATAATCTCGCAGGATCCATTGCGAGCACGGCAGAACCCATATTTGTGGTTGTGAAAGGTACACAGAAAGGGTTCACCTTCTTATAGGAAAACCGTAAAGCTTCAATTGCATCATAGAAGACCTGTTCAATATCAAAACAGAAAATGGATTTATCAAACATGACTGAAGTGATGAAAAACACATCAGATCTTGTCCCAAAATCAGATTTTGTGGATCATTGTGAGATTATCTGGCTTGGAATTTAATTTATGTGAACAGAATATTTTGCGTTTACAAGATGTTTTACTACAGGAGAGAGATACTGATACACTGTCTTAAATTAACAGATAAAGAACATAAACAAGTCCAGTTATGAAATCAGAGAAACTAGTCTTCGTGCATCTCCGAAAAAAATGACATTTGGAGGATTACAAACTCTAAACCATGCTTGCCAAAAACATCAGAATCATAAACAAGTAAAATTTTGATTGTTTGAAATTACAATTCTGCTCATATTTCTTATTCACGTTTCTTTTTAAGTAAAGTGTTAAATTGATAATTTCATAAGGATTTGGTTGACAATGAGTATTCTATTAATATGTAACTAGCATTTGCCTACACACTTTGTGTGAATGAACATATATATTTTTTTAGAAAATGAGAAGGGGAAAGAGAGAGAGTGTGTGTGTGTGTGTGTGTTTTTTTTTTGGGGAGAGGGGGGGGGAGGGGATTGGGAGGTTTTTGTTTTTTGTTTTTTTTTGTTTTTTAACGTCACCTGTAGGTGAGGCTTCAATAAAAAACAGTAAAATTTGGATATGTGAAATTACATTATTACCCATCATTTTTTTTTTTGTGTAAAAAACAGTAAAATTTGGATATGTGAAATTACATTATTGCTCATCATTTTTTTTGTAAAATTAAGTTATCTTTTCATCATTTTTTGGTTAACAAAGAGAGTTTCATTAATTAATAAAGATTTAGATATATAAAAAGAACACAAAAGGGCAAACGCAGGACAATAGAACAAACGAGTTTTCGTTTGCAAACCAAAATAGTTATCAAACAGCCTCTTAGTTTTAGAGATTAGTAAAGTGCAAACAAAAATGTACGTACCCAAACTCCTAATAAATCAGAAATTGTGGATCATCTGAAGCGGACGGTGGCTCTTGCTCCTCATCCTCCTCAATATCAATAGGAACATTGGGATCAATCTGCCTGCGTTTTGGATGATCTTCTGCTGGCTCCGAAGATGAGGAAAGCCATTGTTGTTGCTGATCATATTCACCATCGACGATATCTGAGGATCCACATGGACGAGGCCTCTTCCCAAGACTGCTCGTTGGTCTCAGAGACGAGTGAAGCAGTTCGTCTTGGTTGCGCAATAGGCAGTGCACGCCGCAGCTTTTAATGGGACTGCCACTGTGGAAAGGAATAACAACTTGACAAATATCTCCCTGCTGCTCCTGCTCCCATAAATCCACTAACCAAAGCAGCACATGAGTTGCCTGTATGTTATACTTACGGTGATACGGTATAGAAGGTCGAAACTTTACTCCGTTGATGAAAATACACTCAGCAATTTCTACTTCCCAGTCATCTTCATCAGAACAATAAGGTGGTTCAAGAACAAAAGATAGAGCCAATCCTACTAATGGCTCCCCCACTTGTAATTTTAGAGGAATTTCAAAACGAAATTCACTATCATATCCATCCCTTTCATCAACGGTTGTGGGATGGTTAGAGGTATAGTTGAACCACTTTGGAACTTCATTGCCTGGGTAAAAAATTCTCAATCGAAGGCACGGATATTTGTGCTGCAACACCACCTTATCGCCACTTGGTCGATAGCAGTTACACAAGTTATGACGCTTAAGCCTTGTTGCAAACCTCGCAAGCTTATAGCACCCAGTAAGATCCAATTGTTTAAGTTTATCAAGGAATGCAACTGAATCATGAACCTCGACCAAACTTGTGCAGTCATTTAGATCCAACACCCTTATGTTTGGGCTTCCGGATAAGTCGGGGACATTTTGCAACTTACAACCATTTGCAGACAAGTACGTAAGCCCAGTAAGATACGCAATTGATGAAGGCAATTCTCTTATGCCACTTTTTCCTATCTCCAAACGCATCAGAGATTTCATCTTGTCCTTCTCTATTTCTGGAAACCTCTTCAGCCTTCTGCAACCTTCGAGAGAAAGAGAACGTAGGGACCTCGATCCAAGTCTTGTTGGAAACCTCGTAAGATTAGAGCACCAACTAAGATTCAATTCTTGAAGTTCGTCAAGGAATCCAACAGAATTATCAACCTCAACCAAATTTTTACAATAACTTAGATCCAAGTGAGTTATGTTTGGGCTTCCGGATAAGTCGGGGACATTTTGCAACTCACAACCATTTGCAGACAAGTGCGTAAGCCCAGTAAGATACGCAATTGATGAAGGCAATTCTCTTATGCCACTTTTGTGTATACCCAAATACCATAAGGATTCCATCTTGCCCTCTATTTCTGGGAAGCTCTCGAGCATTCTGCAACCTTCAAGAGAAAGATAAAGTAGGGACCTCGATCCAAGTCTTGTTACAAACCTCGTAAGCTTAGAGCACCCATCAAGATGCAAACCTTGAAGTTCATCAAGGAATCCAACTGAATCATGAACCTCGACCAAACTTGTGCAGTTTGTTAGATCCAACACCTCTAAGTTTGGGCTTCCGGATAAGTCGGGGACATTTTGCAACTCACAACCATTTGCAGACAAGTGCGTAAGCCCAGTAAGATACGCAATTGATGAAGGCAGTTCTCTTATGCCACTTTTTCCTATCTCCAAACGGTGTAGGGATTCCATCTTGTCCTTCTCTATTTCTGGAAATGTCTCCAGCCTTGTGCAACCCCAAAGATTAAGCTTTTCAAGGGATCTCAATCCAAGTCTTGTTGCAAACCTCGTAAGCTTAGAGCACCCACTTAGATCCAACACCTTTAAGTTTGGGCTTCCAGATAAGTCGGGGACATTTTGCAACTCACAACCATTTGCAGACAAGTGCGTAAGCCCAGTAAGATACGCAATTGATGAAGGCAATTCTCTTATGCCACTTTTTCCTATCTCCAAACGCGTCAGAGATTTCATCTTGTCCTCCTCTATTTCTGGAAATCTCTCCAGCCTTGTGCAGTCACAAAGAAAAAGCATTTCAAGGGATTGCAATCCAAGTCTTGTTGCAAACCTCGTAAGTTTAGAGCACCGACTAAGATCCAATGTCACAAGTTTGTCAAGGAATCCAATAGAATCATCAACCTCAACCAAATTTTGACATCCACTTAGATTCAAGTGCTTTATGTTTGGGCTTCCGGATATGTCCGGAAATTTTTCCAAAAATTTGCAACCACTTAAATTCATCCATGTAAGCTTTGCCAAATTCTAAAAAACCAAAGTCAAAAACAAAACAAAAGTTAACTTTCTTTAAAAAGAATGTAATAAAACAGCTGAGTATTTTTTTTGAGAAAAAAAAAATGTTTAAATAAATAGTGATTCAAAATAATTTAAAGTATGTACCTTAAATTCCTTCAATTGTCTTATGCCACTGAATGACACATCAAGCTTAACAAGATGTCTTGGATAAAAATTGGATGGCAAATTGAGCACATACGTATGCCTTCGATCAAAGCAAACAAGATCTCTTGGATGAAAATTGGATGGCACATACGTATGCCTTTGATCAATATTGGATCGTCCACCGAATTCAATCAACCTCAAACTGTTGGGCACATAATCAACACGTCCCGAAAAGTGTGCATTACGGTTTATAAAAAATTCAAGATTTTCCATCTTCGAGAAGCTTTTTGCATTCAAGGGTATCACATCTGGTTCGGGCAGATTCACAACAATGCCTCTAATTTTCTTTGTTCCCTAAGATGGTAAAAGATATAATGTTAACAAACAAGTCACAATAAGTTTTTTTTTTCTTTTCAAAATCATGCCAATTAAATCAAATATAATTATGTAAGAACATATATTCTACTTACTTTGCAATCAATTAGAACATTGCGCACATCTTCATGATGCCACAACCTGCTCCGCTTGCGTGGTTCAGAGGGTGATTCTTCACAAACTATACGCTTACCCATTTGTTCTAGCAAATCATGCATCCAAATCTTCTTATTACGAATAGTTATGATGGCTTTCTCAACGAGTACATCAAGACAATGTTGAGGTACATAGAGCTTTGAACTTCTTAATATTTCTAAAACATAGCATTCATGTTCACCCTTGAAAAAGCATGCAATGTCTAAGAAAACTTGTTGCAGAGCAGAATCCAAGGCATCATAACTTTTCCGAAGTATTCTTTGAATACCTCTATAAGGTTCTCCTTCGTAAGAATCGTAACTATGCAATACAGCTTGCCAACGATCTATACTTTTGTTACGCAAATGAGAACCTATAATATTAAGAGCTAGTGGAAGGCCTTGAGCATAGGCTATTGCACATCGTGCGAGGCTCAAATAATCATCTGGAGGTTGATTTCTTTCGAAGGCATTCAAACTAAAAAGCTCTAGTGCTTTGTCGTATTGTAACTTTTGGACTTCATATATCCACTGACCTCCATAAAAATCTAGCAAACTTCTATCTTTTGTGGTTATGATCACCCTGCTACCCTCACCGAAACAATCGACATCAACCCAGTCTTTTAACTGCTCCAATTGATCCACATCATCAAGAATTAAGAGAATCTTCTTTTGCCTCAACCGATTCTTAATAAGGTTGATTACCTGATGAACATTGACAATTGCCCACTCTGTGCCACGTAGAATTTCAGATAGAAAAGTCTTTTGTAGTTGGATTAGGCCTTCACGTGATGTCGATGATTCTCTAACATCTCCCAGGAAACAACTACCTTCAAACTTACGAGCAATTGCATTATAAACAGCTTTTGCGATTGTTGTCTTGCCTATTCCAGATGTCCCCCAAATCCCAACCACACGACGACCATTTCCATCGACATCTAAAAGATCCTTCACCTCTTGTACGCAAGATTGTATTCCAACTTGGTATTTGGCCACATACAAATATGTGCCATGAAGTACTTTGACTGAGATATCCTCGACAATGTTGCTGATTAATGTAGCTTCATAGCTAGCAGTTAAAAACAAATCACACAATTAATCAGTAAACTTTTTTTTTTTTTTTTTTGGCTATATTTCAGAAAAATGTAGAAAAGAATGTGAAAACAAATAGACAGGAATATTACACGATATTAACAAAAAAGTGCACTTGAATATATTTCTATGTTTCTATCCACAAATGCACTAGTAATTAACTATACTGATGACATTATTCCAGGAAACTAATTATATAAATACACGGTAAGGGGAAGAAAGGTACGTACTCTCCTTCCTTGACAGGATGTCCTGACAAATCTGCTGCTTCTTTAAGAGCACTCCTCCATGCGAGGATCTTCTCCTTATTGTCCTCGAATTTGCACTCAAGTTTTTTGAACTCGTCACCGAAACTACTCGTTTGATTTCGTACATGGGACGGATCCACCTTGTAAAAAACTGGCAAAACTATTTGTTGCTTTGATTGTCTACATTGAAAAATCTTGACGAGCTCGTCCAAGCACCACCTTGAAGCTGCATAGGTTTTAGAGAATATGACGAGAGAAATTCTTGACTCTTCAATTGCTTGGAGGAGCGCTGGTGATATTTCTTCTCCTCTTACAAGTCGGCGATCAATGAAGGTGGGGATTCCCTTGTCGACCAACGCCTTGTATAAATGATCTGTAAAATTGGTGCGTGTATCCTCTCCTCTAAAGCTCAAAAAGACATCGTATCTCCACGAAGGAGTACTATCGATACAAAAGGAAGAAGAAGAAGAAGAAGAAGAAGAAGAAGAAGAAGAGGAGAAGGAGGAGACAAGTTGATTATTCATTGGAGAAATCCAGGTAAACTAAAGAACCTTTCAAAGGATTGATTGTGGATTCGCGTCAAGACTTCGCGCTCTTGCTATGCATACATTTCTTGCTATGTAGGAAGCAGCAGTTTCCTACCACCTTCAATGTGAATGTGGACCCTCTCTTGTCATGTTAGTCCTCGTGCTTTTCTCCCTACCTACGAAGCAGTTTCCTAGATACTAGCAACCTTTCAATGCGAATGTGGTCAAGTTGAAAGATAGGAAACTTTTTGGGAACTTCATTTCAAAAACGGATATTAATTTAATCATAATATTAGAAAGATTAAATTTAAAAAGTAAATTATATAAAAGTTAATGATTATATTATTATTTAAGTATTGATTAACGATTTAACGTGTTTATTTTTTTATTAATGATACATTAATTAGTTTACAAATTTTATTTTTCAAAGTATTAGCCTTAACTTAAAAGAAAGGAAGTTTCGTTGCAAGCTACTGTTTACTATTTTTGATGGAACGATCCACGGTAATGATATTCTAAGATAAACACGGACGACTGTAAAATATAAAATTATTTGTTGACACGTGGTCTTTAATTGAACGAAGATATGTCTAATTAATTTGTTTTGTTATGCTTTTGGAACTTTTTGTTTCTTTGACTAACGACTGGCTCACTATGGCTTTGTCTGTATTTTATTATTCATTGATATTTGTCATCACCCATGGCCCTTCTTCACCAATGACTTTATAATTCCGAACCATTTGCCTCTTTTCAAAGGCCACATCTTTGTGTTGTATTCTTTTTATTCGTTGGATTTAATTAATTAATAGTTAGACTGAATAAATGAGCCACACATGATTTACTTCTGTTTTAATGCGACGAGTTTAAGCATGAAAGACTGGATTCGCAACCATGCGGAGTGCAGAGACATTGAGTTCGTTTAGATGTACTTTTAAAATATTTGAAAGTGTTTTTTAATGAACGTATTTTTGAAAACATTCATTAGTAAAAATGCTAATAAATCCTAAAAAAACACTTAAAGTTCTTCATGGAATGCTTCTTATAAAAAACATTTAAGTGCTATTGAAAATCAAAAATATTTTCGCTAAAAACGATTTCAATCATTTTAAAAGTACATTAAAACAAGTTCATTATCTACGAATATGGAAGGTGGGGTACGTATAGGAATAATGAGTTCACGAAAAAGCTAACAGAATCCTCGGAATTATGGTATGGTGTATGGACAATGCACTCTCTCTTGTTATATATATCAGTCACCATGCTTTTCTCCCTACCAACGAAGCAGCTTCTCACTTTACTACCTCTCAATTTGATTGTGATAAAGCGAAAGGATTAAAATTGACATGAAACTTCTGTTTCTTTCGTTGCAATTTCATTCCATTGAACAGTTTTTTCTTTTTTTGGTTATTGATGCGTTCTTTTTCCGTATGCCAGATATTCATAGATCTGATGATCTTGATGGGTCAATTCATCTTCCCATCACACTGTTATTAGTTGAGAACAGATACAATTATTCACATTTTCCTTGCGGTTACATGATAAAATGATTCTCTTGAACAAATTATTTCTTTCTTTCATGCAAAGCGTACTGATGAAATGCAATTCCTTTTACATAAAAGCATATGAATTAGTGCCATAAATCTGCAGGAAATCAAATTAACCACTGGCATGCCATCAAATGTACATGCTTGGATTTTTATTTTTATACAACAATATTTTTACACTATAAATCGGCATAAAAAAAAAACTTATGAAACATCATGAAACAATATAAAACACATGATGGAAATGCATAAAACCTAAAACACTGAAAATATATATGAAACACATCGAATTTAAGTGTGCTAGCGTGTTTATTATTTATAACAAATTTTAGTATGTTGATGTATAACATCCAATCTAAGTTGACAAGGAATGATTTGCTTCAATTATACCAAAAATAATTAACCAGTCCTCATTTCACCATCTAAATCACTTAACCGTGGTGAATGTCTGCCGTTGGATTAGTCAAAAGATCAGTTGGGCTCAATATTCACGCCAGCAAGTGGCCGACAGCCCATGTGGGCGGGGTCACCTCCTGCAGAATCTGGCTGCGTATGGGAGCGTGCGCGCGTCAGTTGGGCTCAATATCCTAGGGCTACTATAACACATACCAAATGTGTAAGTTAACCCCCTGTGCGATTTATTCTCAAAAAAGGCTCTTTACGTGGTGAATTTCCAAATGTAACATGTAGGTAATACGTATAGGATGACGGGAAGCATGTATGATTGTTGGGCTTTGTGCATGCGATAATTTACTCTGATATCATAAGAGTAGTTAACATTCTATCATAAAGTCAATTAACATATGAAGTAACTCAATTACTTAAATATCACTTTTTTTATCCGAATTACTCTTCACATCAATAAACCATTCAAAATTTAACATATGAATTTTCATTCATGTCTTTTCATCTTAGAAAATGATTGAGGATAAAATTTCACATCTC